GGTCCTGCTGTTGTCTCGTATGGTCTTATCTCTGTGTTGATCGTCTATCCCTGCCCCTTCTACCTGAATCAGTAACCTCCATGAGTGGGCAGGTCCTGCATGTGTTGTGGTCATTGATGTGTACCTGTGTTCATTTCTCTCTCTCTTCTCTCTTGAGAGAGAGAGAGAAGCAGGGCTTGTGTTTGCCCGATGTGGAACTTGACTCAGGAACCGTAAGATCATGACCTGAGCCCAAGTCAGATGTTTAAGCGACTGAGCCACCCAGGTTTCCACCTGTGTTCATTTCTTGAACAATGAATGAGCACCTGGGGCTGAGGGCAGTGGGGTCTAGCACAAGAGCCCAGCACTGACTTCCATCCCCATCTCTCCCGGCCCAGGAGGGAGATGACAAAATCGAGTACCGTGCCTGGAACCCCTTCCGCTCCAAGCTGGCAGCAGCAATCCTGGGCGGCGTGGACCAGATCCACATCAAGCCAGGGGCCAAGGTGCTCTACCTCGGGGCTGCGTCCGGCACCACTGTCTCCCACGTGTCTGACATCGTAGGCCCGGTGAGTGGATGGAGGGGTGAGTAAAGGCTGGTGGTGAGGTGGAAAGAAGGGAGAGGCTGCCCCTGCCAGCCTGGAGGCAGTGGCCTTGGCTGCCTCCCTGTACCGTGTAGCTTGGAGCTAGGCCCTCCGTCTTCAAAGTGCCTGTGGGTGGAAGGAGCAGCTTGGACGCCTGGTCTCCAAAGCCTCGTTCAGCCTCACTCCTGAGTTCTTAGCCTGGAGGGAAAGGAGCTGTATAATTTAGTGGTTAAAAACCCCGGGCTCTAGTGTGGCATTTAACAGTGAGGTGGCTTTCAGCAGTTAATAACTTAACCTGTCTGAGCCTCCGTTTATCCCTCTGGAAAATAGGGTTACTGTGAAGATAAACGAGTGAATTCCTGTAAAATAACAGAGTGGTGCCTGGCCCATTGTAAGTGTTCTTAGCTGTTAAGACTTCATCTCAGTGCCCTAGCTTCCTCGTTTTAAGACCGTATTGAGGGACTCGGCTCTCAGATGAGCAAAGCGGGATTGAATCGAGCAAAGCAGGATTGAATCACTGTTGGCCGGTGACTTCATGTCTCTGGCTCTCACTTTATTCATCTGTAAGATGGACATAACAATAGTTGTTAAATGGTAGGGTTTTGATATGGGCATTTGCATGGCCACATGCAGTGTTTGGGCCCATAGTGGGTGTTCCATTTAAGAACCAGTATCTGTTTCTATTTTTTTGATTATTGTAGGACGGTCTAGTCTATGCAGTTGAGTTCTCCCACCGCTCTGGCCGTGACCTCATTAACTTGGCCAAGAAGAGGACCAACATCATTCCTGTTATTGAAGATGCTCGGCACCCACACAAATACCGCATGCTCATAGGTAGGGGTCCAGGATTGTGTAGTCCAGGCCACTCCAGGTTTCCTGGGAAAGGTGGCCAGAATCCCGATCTGAGTGGAAGCAGAGTGAATGAGCAGGCCTCCTGAGTCTGCAGGAATGAAGGGGGGGAAGGGGAGGGGGAGGCAGCTGAAGTTGTGGAATTTGGGTGTTTGGCAGGCCTGAAGGGCCAACCTCCTTCAATCTCCTGCGCCTCTCCCTAGGCACCCCCATACTTCCTGCCTCCCTCCAGAACATGGTACTTTTCATGCTGCCCCTGGCTTATGTATAAAAGCCCCCATCCTCCTCGTTGTCTGGTGAGATCATAACCCATAAAGCACAACCTGAGTGTGGCCTTGGCTGAGAGGGGCCTGTTGTGAATATTACTTTGTTTTAAAAAAAAATTGGGAAACATGATGTAAAACTGGAACTCCTTATAAACAACCCTCAGAGGTAACTGATAGGAGCAATTTAAAAAGCTGCTTTTCCCAATTTCAAAAAGTCAGTTTTCATTATACCCTCTTTTTTTTTTTTTTTTCTAATCATACCAGCTTAAAAATAATACTTTGCAAAAAAAAAAACAAAACACACACACACAAAACTGTGCATTTCGCTGGTTTTCTCTGGAGTTTTTTTTTCCCCCATGCATTCATACAATACCCTTTGTCCTACAACTTATTTATTTATTTATTTATTTATTTATTTATTTAGACAATCCTGCAGGGACTCTGGCCTGTAAGTGCTTTCCTTTACTTGCCTTTTTTTTAAATGAATTTTTTTAGCATTTATTTATTTTCGAAAGACAGAGAGCATGAGCAGGGGAGGGGCAGAGAGAGAGAGGGAGACACAGAATCTGCAGCAGGCTCCAGGCTCCAAGCTGTCAGCACAGAGCCCGACGTGGGGCTCAAACTCAGAATTTGTGAGATCATGACCTAGGCCAAAGTCGGACGCTTAACTGACTGAGCCACCCAGGCGCCCCTTTACTTGCCTTTTTGATGAGTGTCTGTTTACCCCCCATCCCAAGACCTGGGAGCATCTCGAGGACCAGGTCTGGGTCTGACTCATCTCTGTGTCCCCCACACCCGGCCCAGGGCTGGCCACAGAGTAGGTGGCAATCGTGACTTACAAGAGGAATGAATAGATGGTGTGACTGGGTTTCTTGGACCCATCCTGGGGGTACTGCAGAGGGAGGGAGATCAGTGGGGGGGATGTGAGACTGGAAGCAGGGAAGACTGCCAGGAACCTGCTGGTAACAGGGCACAGGCCTCATGGGAGGAGCCGAGAAGATCCAACAGATCCAATTTGTAACTGCCACTTCTTTCTCCCTAGCGATGGTGGATGTGATCTTTGCCGATGTGGCCCAGCCAGACCAGACCCGGATTGTAGCCCTGAATGCCCACACCTTCCTTCGTAATGGAGGACACTTTGTGATTTCCATTAAGGTACGGGGCTTGGTGGAATCTAAGGTGGGGTGGTCGTGTCTTCTCTGTAACTGCCAGTCAGTCAGTCAAAACGAGGAGGCCTCCATTCTGGGATGCCTCATCCAGCCAGCTCTATCCCTGCCCCAGTCGTATAGCACATGATGAAAAAGGTCTGCAAAACGAAAAGGCTTTGGGTTTGGCAATAGAAGGTACTGGTCAAGTGAATAATTGTGGAGTCTGACCATTTGAGTTTGAATTCCAGCTTGCTCTGTGACTTTGAGCAAGTTACCTAACCTGGGTACCTGTTTCTTCATTAGTCATCTCTCTTTCAGTGTTGTCTGTAAGGATTAAATTTATCAATATATATGAAGTGTTTAGTACAGCATGGTAGAAAATAAGTTTTAGGTAAATGTTCGGTGCGTTTTCAAAAACGTTTTATTTTAAAATAAAGATCCTCAGCCAGATTCACCATTTGTTGGCCTTTTGTTACATTTGTTTTTGTATTCTCAGCATTACTATTGTTAAAGAAAGAGAAAATAAAACAAAAACAACCCTGGGTATAAAATTTAAACACTAGCTTTTAGATAAATAGGTCTCTGTTAAAGTCTTCTGTTGTAAATCCAAACCAACTTGAAGAAAATTTCTGTGATGAAGTCTTTTCCCTCCACTCCCAAAACCTGAGTTTCACTGAGTTTCCAATAAAAAACAAATACCTGTGGTTTAAAGAGCAAAAGAAAAAAAAAAAAAAAGCCCAAAGCCTTGCTGCAGACTTCCAAGTTCTCTCTTCTGCAGGCCAACTGCATTGACTCCACAGCCTCTGCTGAGGCCGTGTTTGCCTCTGAAGTGAAAAAGATGCAGCAGGAGAACATGAAGCCCCAGGAACAGTTGACCTTAGAGCCTTACGAAAGAGACCACGCTGTGGTGGTGGGCGTGTACAGGTGAGCAGGGGGCCTGGAAGCCACCAAGACAGCCCTGCGCCTTAGCGCTTGGTAGGAGTGCCGGAAAATGGTGACAGGCTCTGAATCCCCTCTCTCCTTCCTCTTACAGGCCACCTCCCAAGGTGAAGAACTGAAGCCCAGCGCCATCTGGATTGCGAGAGATTGTGTTGCTACTGTTACACGTGTGTTTTTCTATTAAAAGACTCATCCATTGCTCCCGTCTGCTGATTGCTCAGCGACCTCCATTCAACAGAGCGCATGCTCCCTTGGTCAACTGGCGCGGTGGTGGGGGTGGACGAGCTCATCCGGTCACACGTGCGCATGTTCCTTTCTTGGCTGCCTTTTGCGCAGTCGCAACCCGGATTTCGACGTTTGGGCGGGGTTGGTAGCTTACTGTGCGCGTCTACCGGTAAGCTCCGCTGCGCGCAGGCGCGGAGTGTTACCTTGGGTCACGTGGGTGAAGCGAATGGGGGGAGTGGGGGCGGAGCCCGAGGCGGGAGGTGGGGGCCGGTTTGTTGTGGTCGCCATTTTGCTGGTTGCATTACTGGGTAATCGGGGCCCTGGCTCGCCGCGTCCGCCGGATACTTTCAGCCAGTGGGCAGGTCTGAGCTCGGGCTTCCCGAGCAGCTTGAGTCCCCTTGCCCGCGCCCTCAGGTAACAACGCGGCTACAGGTGGGGTAGCACGAGCTCGCGGGGAGGGGGCAGTACGGACCCGCCCTGCCCGCGTCGCCGCGAGACTTAGCACGAGGCCGAGGGAGGAGGGCAGGGGGGCGGCGGGCAGGTGCAGGCCGTGCCTGGCTATTCATAGTCGGATTCTTGGAAGGGGCCGAGCCCGAGGGAGCAGTCTTGGGAGTGAGGCTGGGAGGGGGTAGCGGGGCCCCGCTCCCGCCCTTTGTTTGGGCTCGACTCCTCCGGCTGCATCGTCGTCGCCTAGCAACAGCTGTTCTGGACTGCGATTGGCTGAGCCCTTGGCAGCAGCGGCCAATGGCACGGTTGTTGCCATGGCAGGTGCGGACTGCCAAGCTCAGCTCAGCCGGCCCCGCCCGCCGGGGCTCCGCCGACCGGGGCGGGCCTCCAGGGTGGGGGGCGGGACGCCTGGGTCCCCAGGGGCGGGTGGCTGCGCGGGGCGGGTGGCTGCGCGGGGCGGGGCCGGCGGGGCGAGGGTTAACCCACCCCTCCCCCGTCCACCTGCTTTCCCCTTCCCCCGCGTGCCCCGGGCTGACCCTCGTTCCCTCCTCTCCCCACCCCCGGCGGCGGCGGCTGCTGCTGTTGTCACCCACCGGGCCGCCTGTCCCGCTTGCCCTCCCCGCCGCGGGGCTTGCCGGGCCGGCCGGGCCGGGACAGGCGGCCGTCTCCTCTCTGCCACCGCCGCCGCCATGCTGGCTGCTCGCCCACCCCACTGGGGGCCCCACCGCGCCCCAGCCCCCCGTGGGCCCCGCGCCAGCCCTGACCCGGGTAGGGGGTGGGTGCTTGGAGAGAAGGTCCTGCCGTGGGAGGGCCCCGGGGAAGAGGTTGTTTCGGGCGAGGGGCGGGGGAGCTCCAAGAGAGAGGAGGGATCGTGGAGTGGCAAGGCTTGGCATAGAAGAAAGGGAGTGCCATGGGAGAAGGCCTGTGGGGAGAGGATTTTGGTGTGACAGGTACTCTGTGAGGGGAGAACTCTATGTGATATTTGGGGAATTTGGTTCTGGGGGCCTTCTAGGAATTGGCACAGTTGTGTATTGACCCTGGTGTAGAGAAGAGTAACTGGAGAAAGGGCCCTGGTAGAAATCTTGGATGGGAGGAGGAGGGGAAGATCCAGTGTAGGGGAGAGAAGGGCGAGGGAAGAGAAGCCTCCTTGCTCCCATCAGGGAAAGTGAGCCTTGCTTCTGAGGGGGACCATGAAGTAATACGGAGAAGAGTCCCGATGTGCCACGGGAGCAACTACCTGGAGCAGTGGTCCCTGGTGTGGGAGGAGATGTTATAGGGAAGAGGTCTTGGCATGATATGGGGTGGGTCCCCTGGGGGGTGGGGGCTGGTGGATGGGAATGCCATGGGGTGGGACTCTGTTGTATGGAGATAATCCTATAGAACAGGTTAATCTTGGTGTGGTCCCCAGGACCCTGATGTGGTTTTAGGGGCCTGCAGAGGACTCTGTCGTGGGTTTGGAGGGGGCCCAGAGTTGTCTCATGTGGTTTGGGGGGATCCTAGAGCTCTCTGGATTGAGGGATCTACTGGGAAGGGTAGATCTTGAAGTGGAGGGAACTTGCTGTGATACGAGGAGATCCTGCTGATCAGGGAAGACTGCAGGAGGGCAAGATCTTGTGTGAGGGGGCGTCGGGGAGGGCCGTTAGTAGAAATGGGAAGCGAACAGTGACTCCTACTCTCTATACTGTCTGTGGTTTCTATCTTTTTCTTTTCCTCCCCCCAATTATTGGTGTCTTTCTGTTCTTTCTTGTCATGGTCTATATCCCTGCCTGGATTGCAATCATTCCCTTTCACACGTTCCCCTCTTTGTGCCCCCTACTTCATTTATTTGGTAATCATCTGTTGAGGGACTCCGCTGTGCTCCCACCCCCACCACTTCTCTCTGTCCCTTCTCATTACCACCTGTTGCTCTTTTTCTCCTCTCCCTGTGCCCTGCCTTCTTTCTGATGTCTACCTCTTTCCTGCTTCGTACCGTCCCATACATCCCCTTGTTCCATGTTCCCCTGCCTCCTGCCTGCTCTCAGGTCTCAGCGGCGGTGGCAGCCGAGGTGCAGGATGCGAGAAGGCGCCCCCCGGCCGGGCTCCCGCTCCAGGCCTCGCTCCCCTGCGGCCCTCTGAGCCCACCATGGCCGTCCCACCAGGCCATGGTCCCTTCTCTGGCTTCCCAGGGCCCCAGGAGCACACGCAGGTATGCTTTCAGCTGGCTCCTTACCAGTCTGGGGTAGGGGGAGGCTGGGGACAGAAGGGTCTGGAGAGTGAAAGATAGTTTGGTTGCCCAAAACAGTTTCCTTGGGGCAGGAAGGGTCCATCTGGAGTGGAAAATAATAGAGGAGTTGCTGGCAGAATCTGTTTAGAGAGCCTGGGTTCAAATCCTGACATGGTGGTTAAATTACTTAGGTTCTCCCTGCTTCAGTTTTCGAGAATTCTGTAAAATGGAGCCAGTAATGATACCTACCTCACAGGGTTGTTGTGAGAATTAAACAAGTTAATGAAATGAACATAAAATGCTGAGAACAGTGCCTGGCACGTCAAAAAACACTCAATAAATGTTCACTAAGGAAAAAAGTTCCAGAGTGAAAGATGGGGGAGGGAGGTGGGGTGAAAGTGGGTGAAGGTTGAACCCAAAGGATCCTGGAGCCAGCAGCACCTTAGGGTGCAGAGTAGAGACATTTAGGGGTAGAGACTGTTTAAGGCTCTGAAATGTAGAGCTTGAAGTGGGACAGAGTAGAAGATCAAGGGTGCTGGATCCTGAAACACTGGGCAAAAATGGTGCAGAGTTGGGGGTGAGGGATGAGAAGACTCAACGGGACAAGGGTAAGGCAAGAAGTGAGCCCTCAAGATGGGACACCCAGAATGGAGGGTCTCTTGGCGAAGGACTGCAAAGGGCAGAGCCCACGTTTTCTGTCTGGTCTCTCCCACTGAGGTTCGGAAAGGAGTAAAGGTGTGGGATGGAAGGTGAGGGGTAAACAGTTCCCCATTCATTCACTCGGCAAATCTCTAATGACTGTCCGCTATGTGCCAGGTCCTGCTCCAGGCACCGGAAATGCAGCAAGAACCAGAGAGTCTCTGCCCTTGGGGAATTTCTATCCTAGTGGGGTTGTCACATGATGACCGAGTAACTATGTGTGTGTGTAACCATGATGACCCAGCCACCCATACAGCTCTCCCTCTGGAGGTCAGAAGTGCACGCCTGTCCTCAGTGCCCACTCCTCGCCCTGCCCTGCAGGTATTGCCTGATGTGCGGCTGTTGCCACGGAGGCTGCCCTTGGCCTTTCGGGATGCGACCTCAGCCCCGCTGCGCAAGCTCTCCGTGGACCTCATTAAGACCTACAAGCACATCAATGAGGTGGGCGGGGGCCCGGCTGGGTGCTGAGGGGTCCTGGCTGCCAGCACAGGTCACTCAGCAGTCCTTATCTGCTGGCCGGCTGGGCAGGTATACTATGCGAAGAAGAAGCGGCGGGCCCAGCAGGCGCCACCTCAGGACTCGAGCACCAAGAAGGAGAAAAAGGTCCTGAACCATGGTTATGATGATGACAACCACGACTACATTGTGCGCAGTGGCGAGCGCTGGCTGGAGCGCTACGAGATTGACTCACTCATTGGCAAAGGCTCCTTTGGCCAGGTGTGGGACGCACACCCTGACCCAGGGATTGGGGGGCATGGGCACCCACTGGTATTGACCCACAGAAAAGTGGTGCTTTGTTCTGTCCCCCATCCCCCTTCCCATCTCCTCCTCCCCATCCCCCACCCCCATTCCCCACTTTGTGACATGTCCTGCCCTGGCAGGTGGTGAAAGCCTATGATCATCAGACCCAGGAGCTGGTGGCCATCAAGATCATCAAGAACAAAAAGGCCTTCCTGAACCAGGCCCAGATTGAGCTGCGGCTGCTAGAGCTGATGAACCAGCACGACACAGAGATGAAGTACTACATAGGTGAGGCCTGGGGCAGCCATACACCCAGTACAGGATGGGGCTAGTGTCTTCAGGGCAGGCTCTGGTCTGTAATTCCCTGACATCAGTGATTGTCTTGCCGCCTTCATGATTTCTGACCTATTCCCAGCATAGTGCTGACCAGAATTTATTGGGTGCTCACTAAGGGTCAGGCTTGTTGCAAGCACACGTTGAATCAACTGGTTTCAGTATGACCACAGCCCTGGGGGGAAGGGGCATCATGGCCCACAGCTTGGAGTAGAAAAGGAAGTATTCGGGCGCTGTCACTTGCCAAAGGCCACCGAGTTTGTACTTAGTGGAGCTATAATGTCACCAGGCAGTGGACTCCAGGGCCTTTACTCCTGACGTCTGTGTCATTCTTTTTCCTCTTTCCCACACTGATTCCTCTTAGAAAAAGCAAGAGTAGATTAGAGAGTGTGTTTCTTGAAATACATATGGTTACAGTAAATGGAAAGCGAGTGTCCTCTGCCACAAAAATAAACAGAACTGAGAGTAAGACAACGTTACAAAATTAAGGAAATGGCGAAGGGTATTAAAGACCCATCAGCACCAAAGAGAAACGTTCTCTTTCATTTATCAGGAAGTTGGAGAGAGACTTGAAAAAAATGAACTTGTCTTAATCAAGAAAATCTTTTTCTTGACGTGAATCAAGTTACAGACCGAATGAAAACACCCTGACCAGCAGCTGCCTCCCGTGGGCACACCACTATCTGTCCGGTGCTCACACGGCAGAGTCACAGATCTGCTTGTGGCCTCTCTCCCTATTACCGTGTGTCCCCGGCTGCCACTGGCCCTCTCTGAGGCTCCGCTTCACCAGCGGCCCGTTTCTGCCTCCTTCCCCGCAGTGCACCTGAAGCGGCACTTCATGTTTCGGAACCACCTGTGCCTGGTGTTCGAGCTGCTTTCCTACAACCTGTACGACCTCCTGCGCAACACGCACTTCCGCGGAGTCTCGTTGAACCTGACGCGGAAGCTAGCGCAGCAGCTCTGCACAGCGCTGCTCTTCCTGGCCACGCCTGAGCTCAGCATCATTCACTGCGACCTCAAGCCCGAGAACATCCTGCTCTGCAATCCCAAGCGTAGCGCCATCAAGATCGTGGACTTCGGCAGCTCCTGCCAGCTTGGCCAGCGGGTGCGGCGCGGCACGGCCCGGCCCAGGGGCGGGGCTCACGGCGTGGGCGTGGCGGGGGGGGGCACTGGTGGCTGGAGCCCGAGGGGCGGAGCTAGGCTGGGATGGGGTTGCCGGGCCCAGCCTGAAGTGGCCTGGCGGGTGCCTGAAGGGTAGTATCGGGATGAGGTGTTGGCGGTACGGAGTGTAAGGGGGGGGGGGGGGGAAAAAAAGTGCCACAGGATGTAGTTCCCAGTAGGAAAGGAAGCGTGAGGCCTGAGGAGGCAGGGCCAGTGTTGAGGCTGCCAGATGTGGGCAGAGTGAAGTTGGGTTGGCTTTGAGCTTGGAGTGACGCTTTGCTAAGTTGTTTGCCCTGTGCCCTTAAGAGGGGACGGGTGCTTTAGTTTTGCAGCTTCATGTGAGCAGACATTTGAGATGGCTTGGAAAGGGTCTGGATTGCGGGGGTGGGAAGGGCCTGGGCTTGCAGACTGCCAGCCTCTGATGACCAGGGTCAGGCTTTGGGATGGAGATCAGGGTGAGACTAGGTCAGCAGAGACTTCTGAGGCTGGTGAATAAGATGATGGTAGTGGCTCCTGGAAAGCAGGGATGCTGGTAACATCCAAGTTTGGAACCTCCGTCCCGGTTTTGGTGAAAGGAAGCTTGTCTCAGCTTTGGGTATGGCCATGGCACCACTAGGGGAGGCTGGGACCTCTGACCGCTGCCTTCTTCCCTGCTCTGCCCCACAGATCTACCAGTACATCCAGAGCCGCTTCTATCGGTCGCCTGAGGTGCTTCTGGGCACACCCTACGACCTGGCCATTGATATGTGGTCCCTGGGCTGCATCCTGGTGGAGATGCACACTGGAGAGCCCCTCTTCAGTGGCTCCAATGAGGTGTGCTCCCGAGGAGGGGGTGTGCTGGAGGGGACAGAGGCCTGGTTGGCCTGATGACCCTGACTGCCCACCTGATTGCTCCACAGGTGGACCAGATGAACCGGATTGTGGAGGTGCTGGGCATCCCACCAGCCCCCATGCTGGACCAGGCACCCAAGGCTCGCAAGTACTTTGAACGGCTGCCTGGGGGTGGCTGGACCCTACGAAGGACAAAGGAACTCAGGAAGGTGCGGCCCCTGCCCCACGCCGCTCCTCCCACCCTGGTGGCCCCTCACTCTCTCACACTTGGGGCTTCCTCTCTCCCTGCTTCCTCTCCCTTGTGTCTTTCCCTTCCTTCCTCTCCCCCTTGTCTGTCCTCTCCTTCGTCCCAGCCCACCCCCCCTCCCCCGTCTCTCCTACCCACCCCACAACTCTTCTTAGCTTCTCTCCTTCCACTTTCTCTCTTGTGCCTCTGTTTCCCCGTGTGTGTCTCCCTGCCCCTCCTGCCCACTGACGGCCACTCTCTTGCCCCCCCTCCCACCCCCTCCCTGCCAGGATTACCAGGGCCCCGGGACACGGCGGCTGCAGGAGGTGCTGGGCGTGCAGACGGGCGGGCCCGGGGGCCGGCGGGCGGGGGAGCCGGGCCACAGCCCCGCCGACTACCTCCGCTTCCAGGACCTGGTGCTGCGCATGCTGGAGTATGAGCCCGCCGCCCGCATCAGCCCACTGGGGGCTCTGCAGCACGGCTTCTTCCGCCGCACGGCTGATGAGGCCACCAACACGGGCCCGGCAGGCAGCAGTGCCTCCACCTCGCCCGCACCCCTTGATACCTGCCCCTCCTCCAGCACCGCCAGCTCCATCTCCAGCTCTGGTGGGTGCCCAGTGCCAGGTGGGCTAGAACAGGAGGGTGGGCAACATGGGTTTGGCCTGACCTGGGGGACCTTGCCACTGGGCCTTCATCTAGAGCTTTGAAATTGTGGGATCCTGGACTCTGAATGGGTGGGGCAAGAGAGCTCTGCCTGGCTGTGACCTGATCTCTGAAATTGCACTTGGGCTCACACCTCTGAAACTGCTTCTGACTCTGAAAGCCAAAACTGAGCTCTGATCCTTAATCTCAGAATTGGGCCCATCCTTCAGATAGGCTCTGATCCCAAAGCCCAGGCGTGGGCCTGAGTCGCCAGCCAGACTCAGCCACCCGAAAACCCAGCCACCACCTCTCCTCACCCTAAGGCTTCTCCTCATTTCCTCCCCTGGCACCTCCAGGAGGCTCCAGCGGCTCCTCCAGTGACAACCGGACCTACCGATACAGCAACCGATATTGTGGGGGCCCCGGGCCCCCCATCACTGACTGTGAGATGAACAGCCCCCAGGTACTGGGGCCTTGGGGACCTGGGAGGTGGATAGTGGGTTATCTGGGCTTCAGGACCTGGGTCTCCATCACCCACTATTCCTCTGCTCCTTTAGGTCCCACCCTCCCAGCCGCTGCGCCCCTGGGCAGGGGGTGATGTGCCCCACAAGACACATCAGGCCCCTGCCTCCGCCTCGTCACTGCCAGGGGCCGGGGCCCAGTTACCCCCTCAACCCCGATGCCTTGGCCGTCCCCCATCACCAACCTCACCACCACCCCCGGAGCTGATGGATGTGAGCCTGGTGGGCGGCCCTCCAGACTGCTCCCCACCTCACCCGGCGCCTGCCCCCCAGCACCCGGCTGCCTCAGCCCTCCGGACTCGGATGACAGGAGGTCGTCCACCCCTCCCACCCCCTGATGACCCTGCCACTCTGGGGCCTCGCTTGGGCCTCCGTGGTGTACCCCAGAGCACGGCAGCCAGCTCATGACCCAGCCCCCTCCCTGGGGCCCCTCCTGAAGCCATACCCCCCATCTGGGGGCCCTGGGCTCCCATCCTCATCTCTCCCCTTGACTGGAATTGCTGCTACCCAGCTGGGGTGGGTGAGGCCTGCACTGATTGGGGCCTGGGGCAGGGGGTCAAGGAGAGGGGTTTAGGCGCACCCTCCTCACTAAAGACTGGACCCTTGGCCCCCTCTCCCCCCCCCCCCTTGTTTTCTATTTATTGTACCAAAGACAGTGGTGGTCCGGTGTCGGGGGGAGACCCCCTTCACCCTAGGGCCCTAGGAGGGGGTGGGGGCAGGTAGGGGGAGATGGCCTTGCTCCTCCTTGCTGTACCCCCCAGTAAAGAGCTTTCTCACATGCCTGCCTGAGAGTTTGCAAGGCCTCGGCTTCCCTCACCTGGCCCTCAGAGGCGTGGTGGGGAACGGTGTTTGGGAAGGGGTGCCAGAAAAGCTCTGTCATGAGGGATGCATCCCTGGGGAAGTTATGGCTATTGGCGCAGACACAGGGCTGCAGGAAGTCTGGGGCTACGGAATCCTAGACAAGAGATCCTGGATAGGATCCTAGCCCATGTTTGTCTTTTCCGTGGTAAACACAGACCCTGAACGAGTACACGCCCAGCTGTGGCCTGTCTCTGGGAAACATCAGGATCTGCCCTAATAAGCCAGGGCTTCCACAGAGTCTGCACAGGAGTGGCTCCTTATGCCAGGCAGGCATCTAGTAGGTGCCGAATGCTTGCAGCAGGCCTTATTAATGCCATCTGGGGAATGGCAGGCAGGCAGTGTAAAGTATAGACTTTACCCCACCCCCACCCCCATGTCTGGTCTTACCCTTTGGAACCGTGACGGAGCAAAGCATTTTGAGATTCTCTGGCAGAAAGATATTCCCGGGGTTTCAGGTAAGTGGGTCTGTTTCCATAGCAATTTGGAAACTTAAGTCTCCCAACCGGCCAGTCAAGAGCCTCCTGATTCAAAGGTACCTACCGTCTCCCGCCATTGGGGCGCGGCGCTTCCTGGGAAATGGAGTTATACGTTGCAATCCCTTTTGCCGCTTTTCGTCAGGCAGGGGACTACAAAGACCAGAATTCTTTTCGCTCACGAGTTAGGGCCGGTCTCAGGCAGCCAATCGATAGTCCGAGGTGGACGGGGCCCGGATGCTTGAGGCGGGCTGTAGAAAAGGAAAAAGCCGTGATTGGGTGGCGTTGGTCAGGCTGTTCGCCGGTGTTGAGTTCTGTCAGGCGTGCGGGAGGTGGGCCACTGTGCTGCTCCCCGAGACTGAGCAGGTTAGGCGTCCGCGGTCACAGAGCAGGAGGGAGGCGCTGAGGCCTGAAGCGGCCCCATCGCATAGAGCATCACCAGCCGCGGTGTCTGGCCCAGCTCACAGGAAGCCCCGGTCGGTAGGAGAGAGCGTGGACGCCGTTACGGACCTGCGGGTGTTCGGGAGGGGGCGCAGTGTGGAACGCTGAGGGGACCCCAGACGAGGCACGGGTAGGGAACATTCCCGGAGGAGGAGCTGTTTGAGCTGAGACCCGAAGACCGGATGTTTGGGGTGGCGGTGGTGCGGTGGTTTGCGCACAGGCAGCGACGAGAAACAGCCTGTTGTGTGAACATGAACTGCGGGTGATGTGGTGTTGGAGAGCTAATTGAAAGTTCTGTATGAATTTGATCGTGGAAGATTTTGTTGGCCTGATTAGGTAGCTTGGATTTTGTCCTAAAGACATTGAGGAGCCACGAGAAGATTTCTAGAAGGGAAGGGGCATGCATGGCCCAGTTTGCTGCCATCTAGGAATAGATTGATGGGAACGAGACTAGGGTCTGGGAGCCCAGGGTGGTGGCTGTGGCACGTTCCGAGGCAAGAGATGTTGGGGATGAACCAGGGTAGGAGTCTTGGCTGGGAGGGGAGAAAGGATGTTGGTGGGAGAGACGTCCAGAAGGCTGAGTTGACAGAATGTATGGCTTTACGGGCTGTGTGGAAGGGGGAGGCGGAGAGGGGCGGGAAAGGGGTATCTCCAGCAGGTAGAACAGTATCTGGCATATTATAGATGCTTAATAAGAAAAAAAAAAATTTTAATGGACAGTTCTAGGAGGCAGAGACTATTATGATCTCCATTTTGCAAACAAGGATGCTGAGCACAGAGAAGGTTAAGTAATTTAACCAAGATCACATAATTAGCAAGTGGAAGGCCCAAGATTGTGTGTGTGCTCGCGCATGTGTGCGCCATTGACTTAGCAACGTGCAAGATGAGCTTCGAGACATCATCAGGATCCAGTCGTGTAGGAATTTGGGATAAGTGTGGAAATGTATATCCCACATTTCAATATTCAGCCCAGAACCTCTCCCTGACCTGCTGACTGCCCACATGATACCTCCTCTCTCAAGATAGCTGTAGTCCTCTGGAGACCAAGGCATCTTGACCAAATTGAACTCTGGTCTTTTCCCCAAAACCTGTTCTTCCCACATTCTCAGTAAATGCCTCCTCCTTCATTGTCTTATATTCATGTCTGGTCCATCAGCAAATTCCTTCAAAGTGTATTCAGAACCTGATCCTTTCTTCCCACCTCCACTCTTGTCACCCTGGTCCTGTCCACTCTATACCCTGCCTAGACCATCACGGCAGCCTCCTCAGTGGTCTCTGTGCTCCCCACAGTCTTTCTCATATGCAGCAGGGTGACACTGAATACCTGTATCAGGTCACATTTCTCTCTTGCTCAGTACCCTCCTGTGGCGCTATCTCACACAGCAAATGCCGGTGTTCTTTCCATGGCCTTTGCAAGGCCCTTGATCCCTGCGTGATCTGTCCCTGTTACTTCTCCACCTGGTCCTTTTACCCTGCTCACTCTGCTCCAGCTACACTAGCCTCAGGGCCTTTGCACTTCCTCTCTTTACCTGGAACACTCTTCTCCAGATGTCAAGGCTCACCTTCATCTCCTTTAGTTTTTACTCAGATATCATCTCCTCCTTGAGAACTTCTTTGGTCGCCCTTCTGGAACTATACTACTAACATTCATATATTAATTTCCCTTTAACTGTTCCGTAGCATTAATCATATCACTATTTGACTCACTGTATAGGTTATCTTGTTTATTGTCTGTCTCTCCTCTGCACCCACAGCAGACCATAAACTTCATGAGGGCAGGGGCTTTTGTCTACTTCATATTTTATCTTTAACAGCTAGAAGAGCTCTTGGCACATAGTAGGGGCTCAGTAACAGTTTGTTGAAGGGACGAGTCAGTGGGTGATTTCAGAATGTAGATCCTTACCCCGGCATCGCAGGGACTCTGCCCATCCCTCTTCCACAGAACTTCAGAGGACTGCCTTAAAATTTTCTGAGGTCTCAGACATTCAGCAAGGATTTCGTCTTGCTTCTGCTTTGTGCTCAGCATCAGGAACACAGCAGAGAACAAAACAGTTTCCCTGTTCCCCGAGAATTCACAGTGTCAGGGGTAGAGGTTCAAATCGTCAGCTAATCACACAGATATGAAATTACAAAGAAATGTAGAAAGTGCCATAAGAGCACTTGGCCAGAACTCTAATCTAGATCCTAGGAAGTGGAATTGAAGTGATGAAAGTGTAGGCATTAGGCACTCCATTAAAAGGGGTGTGTGTGTGGTGTGTGTGGGTGTGGGTGTGTGGTGGTCGGAGCCCAGAGGCTGATGGGGAGCAAGAAGACTGGTAATGTGGACCCTGTAAGGAGTTGGGTCCTTAACCCCATGCGTAATGGAGACTCTCAAAGAACTTTAAGCAGTGAGAGGAGGTGCCATCAGTTCTGTATGTTACAAGATCCCTCTGGCTGTCGTGTGGGGGAACTGACGATGGGGTTAAAGATTGAAGTAGTGAGACCTGTGAAAAGGCTGCTCTCCTGAGATTAAAATAGCCTCCTCTACCGAAGGCCACACATCTTTGTTTCTCCCATCAAGAAGTGGAGTCTCTCTGCCCTCTATTCTAGGCTGGCCCATGATTTGTCTTAACCAGTAGAGTGCAGTGGAAGTGATGCTGTGCTGGTCGGGGACCTTAAGAGGCCCGCAGTACTGCTTTCACTTTCTTGGGCCCTGGGCTGCTTTACAAAGAAGTCCAGCTACTCCACTGGAGAGAGATGTGTACAGAGAGAGGCCCAGCCAGCCCCCAGCTGTTCCGCTGTTTTAGCTGATGTGCAGGACAAGAGTGATGCCGTCTAGGATGTTCTAGCCAAGTTCCCAGCTGACACCAGGTAGAATGGAGACTCACCTTGCCCTCCCCACTTTGCTCAAATTCCAGAATCATGAGCAAATAAATGGCTGCTATTTTAAGCCACTGTGTAATGGGATGATTTGTTACTCAGCGATAGCTCACTGAAACAAGCTTCCTGATATCTTATCATTTTGTGTATTAGCTCACGTAAGCCTCACAGTCACCCTGTGTGGTAATAATTGTTATTCCCGTTACACAGATGAGGAACTGAGGGCACAGAGAAGTTAATGGAGTACTGGCAAGATATCTAGCACGTAGTAAGTGCTGAGTTTGTGATAGCTATTAGTCGTTAGCATGAAAATGTTCATAATCGTTAAAGAAGGGATAGTAAGACGATACAAGCATTATTAACCCATTTACTAGTGGTATGATTTTAGGTAAGTGACTTCCTCTCTCCAAGGCTCAATTTTGTCATTGTAAAATGGAGATTATAACAATGTTCGTCTCAGGGTCTGATTTAGCAAGCGCCTAGCATATGGCAGGGATAATTACTATGAAGCATACAGCCAAGATTATTGTAGACAGTGACCTTAGGACCACAGGAGGAAGCCAATTTCTTGGAAGTTCTAGTGGAGAGACAGACAGGTCATTGGTGATATTGTTGAAGTGCTGCATCAGGCTTCACCTGAAGTGGGTTCCTTCTGGACTTTGTCATTAGGGAAACCAGTAAACCTGGGTATCATTTACGCCAAGTTGAACTGGCTTTCCGTTACTTGGAACCAGCATCCTAACTGATTCTAGCGTTTTATTCATTTATTATTATTTTTTTTAATTTTTTTTTGTTAACATTTATTTATTTTTGGGACAGAGAGAGACAGAGCATGAACGGGGGAGGGGCAGAGAGAGAGGGAGACACAGAATCGGAAACAGGCTCC